AAGGTAGTTGTAAGAAGTATAACAATAGGGGGATTTTAATGATAAAGAATAATAAGATAATAGTTTTAGAGAGATCAAACCGTGATCAGAAGGATCTAAGGGTGAATGTGGAGAAACTGAGCACTGACTAGGATCAGAAACAAGACATAAGTCGAGTAGATAAGGTAAATGATTCGGGTTGTCTAGAAAGTTGACTATTTGTATTAGAGATTAATAAAGACAAAAGTTGTGGGCCTTAACGCCTGCAGAATCACTTTTAATACTCATCACACTGAATGGAACCAACCCATTCAGTGTGATGAGCATTAAAATCAGCAACAACAAAGATATTGGCTGATGGATAAAGAGAAAGGACTTGGTCAATTTTATCAGAAATCAAATTAAAAAGAGTGCAGTCTTAAGATGTAAGAGAGTGATATAGAACAAAGAGAAAGGCAATAGAATAAAGCGGTGCTAAAAAAAAGCACATAAAAGAATAGTCTATGGATTCAAACTTAGTTTCCTGACAAATGTGTGAATTGTTACAAATGTAGATGCCAAGCATATGACTTTTGGTCTCGCAAAGGGTAAGTAGGTCTGGTGAACTTTGCAGGAGATAAGACTCAACATAAAAAAAATTACTTCAAAGACCACGAATATTAGTGAATGATAGATTTAGACAACTTGGTGATGACAATCGTTTTTTTTGTTTATAGTTTTTGGTACTTTAATCATTTTTAAACTTGTTAAAGAACTTGGCTCAAAACGTAGATAGTATTCAGTACACTATTTAATAGTCCAAGCAATTGCCTCATTACTATTAATAAACCCTAAGCCATAATAAAAGGCTCCAAATGAGGCCTCAACAATGCACACCAAAAGTATGAACTGAGACACCATCCACGCACAACATGGCACTGTGAGTAATCTGATACTTTACATTTGTTGATGGAATTAGCCTTTCTGAGAGCTACCACAGAGTTCGGGAAACCAGCCAACAAATATTGATTTGAAATTGGTTGGGAAGTTTACATTAAAAAATATATATAATAATTTAGGGCAAAAAAAATAGTTTAAAACGCACTAACTTAGTGTATTTTTAAAGTATATTTGAATAGAATGACGCCTGCAATGGAATATAACTCACAAACAAAAACAGTCTTTCTTTTTTTGAACTATATATTCTAAAAAAATTAGAAAAGATTAAAAAACGAATTCATGCCATACTTTTACTTAAGACAATAATATTTTTTTTAATTATAAACTTTTACTTTAAAATAAAAAATAAAAAGATTTAAAAGAAAAGTAAAGATGCTACTAAAAATTACGAGATCGCTTTCAAAGACATTTTTATTCGAAGATAAAAAAGTGTAAGAGTTTCTGAAAGAATAATGAGGAAATTATTCATAAATGAGGAAATTATTCTTAATTTTCATTACATTTATGATTAAAACATAGAATTGATTAAAACTTATCATTCAATATATTAACAAAGTAATTAAATTTCTGAATCTACCATCAAACATGCAAAAAAGAAAGCAGTAAGTACAAGTGCATCCAAATATCAAGAAGATATAATAAAAGCTGCAAGCCAAAGCAAATTAAAAGTGATCGTTTTGCTGTTCTTGTAAATATCAATGGTGATTTAAGACTTCTTGGCATTCCGCCAATGGAAAACTGTACTGGAAAATCTTTTTATGATACTTTAATAAACATTATGGATGAATATATGCTAAGAATTTATATATGAAGACATGTAACTGTAAAAATTTTTGGGGAAAAGTTCACATTGGTAAAACTTATGCTCCTAAAAATTTGATGTTCAAAGTTTTCCAAGCTAATTGGAACGCAACAAAGGAAACTATGAATAAATCAAAGTTCAAAAACTTTGACAAAGTTGCAGTTAAAGGAATGCATCTAGAAAAACAGATTGAAGAAACTGTTCAGTTTTGCAAATATGCACTTGCTAATTTAGTATTTCCAAGAGGTGATTACAAAGAATTAGTAGAACTTATACACATCTACTTATGTCCAGATGTAAGCTTTAATGTTTATGCTCCCGGATCAGTTTCCCATGCATATCTTTTATGGCTAAGACTATATATGATTTTAAAATTCAAGTTTTAAGATATTAGTTGCCCTACGAATGGACAGCTTGTTTACAAAAAAAAAAAAAACAGTAGAATGGCAGAACTTATTTCTATATTTTATACTCTGTGGTTTGTGTTCCTCTTTAGTTTCCTCTGCACCTTTTAAAATTTTAAGATTTAAAAGCATACTGGCAGATGGTCTAATGTAAAAATTAGGTAAAGCCTAATTATCGAGGAGCTAATGATGTACTAGAAGGAATTGAAGAAATATTGAAATCAATGGAGAGGCATACATGGCATTTGGATTAAACCTTGAATCCATTATGTTTTGCAGATAAAGAACTCAAAGATGATGAAAAAGAAAAAGTTGCACAATCTCACAACCTACATACTATGAGAAGTCTGAAAATCCAATCATTTTGAAAGATCTAGTGTTCACCTAGGAGAAACCACCTAGAATGTCACATTTAGTTGGTAGGAAGTAGCAATTTATTTTCAGTCTATTAAATTTGAGTAAAGACAATAAAAACATTAGCTGAGCTGTTCTTTATCTTTTTGGTGCTTTATCAAACAATTTAAAACTTTCAGTGAATTTGTTCGCCAAATACATTTAGTCAACGACTGCTTTAAATAGGCAATTAAGCTTGTGTCAGAGTTTGTTAATTCTGTTCACAATGAAGAGGACAGGTAAGATATGTTGGCTCTTTAGCAAAGTAGGGATTGATTCAGGGAGTTCGAAAAGGTACAAACTATGATGTGACAAAAAAAAAATGGCACTGACCAAGCATAATTTGGAGAATATTTATTCGATTTTTCACCAAAAACATGAAGAAAAGTTTGCTGAGTTATAGTTTTACAAACTGCTTTTGAAGAAAATTTGTTCTTGATTATTTATCAATTTATCACTGTTATCTTTAACAATGTCATTATATATTTTTCTTAGCAGAAAGTTTATTTTTTT